CTGGATAATCGCATATAAATTATCACAACAGGTGACTCCGGGCCCCGATCAAACAACTATTGACGGTACCTCGCTTGAAAAGCTTCGCTGACGTACTCCTGGGTAAGATTTGAAGGGAAGTGTTGGAGTTTGGGCATAACTATACTCAGGTAGGAGTTTCAAGTATGTACCTGGCTCTAAATACAGTCGTTGTCATAGTTTTCATTCTGCCTTAACCCACCAGTACATGGCCCCAAGCAACTTTGGAATAACGGTTGATCTATCCAAAAAGTTCGGATGACCCGTGCTACAGGACAGAAATGGATGGCGCTGCCAGCCAAAAGAATACAAAAACGCCATGCTGGTATTTCAGCAAAGCTTGATGCGCAGGGGTGTTCTGAGCTCATGATTTATTATTATATTTATTATTATTATTATTATTTTTTTTGTTTTGGCAAAAAGTTGAAATCTTTATAGTATATTATATATATGGAAAAAGAGGCCAGGAATCCTGACAAACAACCCGGATAGGAACTGGGGCCATTACCCAGTTTAGGCTTTGGCTGGAAACCGGGTCCAGCGTCCCTCCTTTTCCTTTTACAGAGAACTTCTTCCAAAACCACGAATGCACAGGCTACAGTCTTCCCCTAAATACAACGTACTGTCATTATAGCTGAATTTAGACTGAAAGATACACCAAATTCAGCTATAATGACTGTCCGTTGTATTCGGGGGAAGACTGTAGTATTACCAGCTCCTCAAAAGGCCCAACTGGCAACCGGGGTTACAAAGAGCCAATCTGGGATTACCAGAGTCCTTTCTGATGAAACAGACGCGAAAGACTTCTGTCCTCCCCAGGATCTCATGAACGAGGTGAGCTTCTTCCCTTGCCTGCTACACACCGATCGCCAGTCAGATAAGATAGCCAATGCTATTTGTTGGTGTGTGGAGAATCGGAGATAACCTCCCATCCTACTCTTCCAGATACTGTTCATCACTGCACACCAACGCAACAGATACCCACGCATGAAATTTGCCTCGGATGTATTGGAGGTTTATTTAAGTTTAAAGAACATGTGGCAGCACTGACGCAGATCCAGCAGGAAGGATAGACATACCGCATGGTTGTGAAGATAGGTGAGTCCATCAGCTGTTCCGATTGCGATGTCGAGACGCTTGCGCCAATCGAGCACTACATTCGTCCTCCCTGCAAATGAAAAAAAGACGACAACGTCGTGAACAAAAAGATGGAAAAAATCTTCAACAAAAAGACGRAAAAAAAACGGCCAAAAGACGGCAAAAAGATCACATAAAACAGACGACAAAAAGACAACAGAAGGACGGGAAAAATGTTACATGCTGCACATGCACACACGGGCCATTTTGCAGGCCCGACGTCGTTCAGGCCAGAAACCTGAATTTCGGGCTTTAAGCCTGATATCCAAGGCTTACAGGCCCCGCCGACGGTTCAGCCTGACAGCCCGAGAAAGGACCTACAGGCTCCA